TCAGCAGATCATCTGCTGCTTGTTGTTCCGAAGGTTCGGTACAAATCACGGGGGGAGCGTGCCTTCTCTTATGCAACCCCAAAACTCTGGAACTCTCTGCCCCTCCATGTGCGTCCGGCTCCCTCTGTTAGCAGTTTCAAGTCGGCCCCGAAAACGCACTTCTTTAGCATTGCCTTCCCTCCGTGACACTTTTCATGACAATCTAGCACCGGATTTGAGTTTTAAATTCCGTTTTTATGATTCATTTGCTCACTTTTGGCACCTCGCACCATCTGGTATTTTATTTCGTTTTATTTGTGCCATTTCAAATGTTTTTATCATTTGTCGCATTATTTTATTTTTATAGTGCTGTTAACTGTTCTCCTATTTTATTGTTTTTAGTAGGAATTTTTATCTCCGACTATTTATACTTTGTTCTTATGTATTTTGCCTGTTCTCATTGTGTTTCTTGATCCAGCATTTGGCTTTTTTATGTACAGCACTTTGGTTAGCTGCCATGCTATTTTGAAATGGTGCTTTATAAATAAATATGGTATGGTAGAGGGATACCTGAAGTGTATGCATCAAAATCACCCAGACAGTTTAAAATTTATGAAAAAATGGCACAAAAAGTACAAGGAGGACAGAAGATTAAAGGGTCAACAATGGCATGATTTAGTCAGTATTTACAAAGTTAAAGCAGCAGCAGCCACCAGCAACAATAAATTATATAAGGAAGACCAGTTAAGAGTGGCGACGTTGTGGCGAGATGAAACAAATAAAGACGAGTGGGCATTCAGAAAAGTAAAGAGAGAAGGACAAAAAATGCAAAGTAGGGAAAGCAAAGATTGGTTCTGAATCTTTTTTATGTTCAATTTCTAGATTCTTGATGTTCAAACTCTTCATATTCAGAAAGGGGAGTTCAGGTGATGACAAATCAACACTCGGGTGTATAAGAGGTTCGTAGTACCGTTTATGCAAAACTACAGATGGGACATTTCCAAAACAATGTTGTCATCATTTGAATCTCTCTGACATCTGATATTGTCTTTATGAGATAACTCATAAACTGTTCGGAAGTATAACTAGAAATGTGAAAATCACAATTGATGTGACTCACATTGGCTTTATTTTTCTCCTGTTGTTTCTTAATGGTGGCCACCTTAATCTATTGGTTTGTTTTGTCTATGTAATTTTACACTTTTCTTTTGTTCATGGAAAGCCTTCGAGCGCCCTTCTCCAAATACTGGGTATTTGATCTGGTTTTAATGTTTTTCATACATTTTATTTTTCTATAGATAGATCCATTGTTCTTTTCTATGTAGTGATGTATTGAGTGATAGATCGATTGTCTGGTTGTCACGAACTCCTCCGGTTAACTACATTTCCCAGCATTCTCGCCACCACTTCCCAACGTTCCCGCCACCAACGTGGCGTGTGTGTGTGTGTGTGTGTGTGTGTGTGTGTGTGTGTGTGTGTGTGTGTGTGTGTGTGTGTGTGTGTGTGTGTGTGTGTGTGTGTGTGTGTGTGTGTGTGTGTGTGTGTGTGTGTGTGTGTGTGTGTGTGTGTGTGTGTCGTGAAGGGGTTTTTATTGTCAGACTGTTTTTAACATTCTGGGGATGGGAGGGAATGTGGGGCCTTTTTAATTTGTGAAGCACTTTGAGTTGCATGTATTGTAGGATTAAGTGCTGTATAAATAAAGCTGATTGACTGATTGATCCCTCAATCTATCGTCCATCCATCATTCACTCATCTATTCATCCATCATTCACCCATCTATCAAATTTATCCATCCATCCCTCCATCATTCATCCCTCCATTCATTCATCCATCCATCCATCTATCATTCACTCATCCATCCATCCATCCATTATTCATTCATTCATCATCCATCCCTCCATCCATCATTCATCCATCTATTCACCCATCCATCCATCATTCATTCATTCATCCATCCATCCCTCCATCTATTCATCCATCCATCCATCATTCACTCATCTATTCATCCATCCATGCCTCCATCTATCATTCATTCATCATCCATCCATCCATCCCTCCCTTCCTCCCTCCAGCCATCATTCACCCATCTATTCACCCATCCATCATTCATCCATCCATCACCATGTAGGAATGTGTCTGACCTCTGGACATGTTGGGACAAGCCAGCCTGTAAGACTCCAGCGTTCCAGCTGATCACCAGCAGCGGAGAACGTGCGAGACTGTTAAATGAAACATCATCGCTCCAGCTCTGCTGACTCACAGCTGCAGCAGATCCAGACGCTGTCCTGTTTCTGAGACAGTTCATCAGATCCCCACCAGGAAACGGTCACCTCCTCATCCCTTCATGTTTCATGGATGTCAGAGCAGGAGACAGCGGTGGACATCTCCGGCTCCTCTGAGTGACGGGCAGGACAATTGACTTTGGTCTCATCCAGTCTTCAGGAGGAGCTGGTGCCTTTCAGAGAGTCCTCTGTCTTGTCTGGAGCAGACATGGAGGCACGAGGAGGGATAACCGTGGGACCAGATGGATTTTAGCCTGAGGGCTTCCTCACAGCCAGTGTTGTCCGAAAATTGTTGGTTGTCACGTCGGCCGGAGTGAGCACCCTCCGAGTCCCGTCCCGGATAAAATAGTTCCTTTAGGAAGGTTTTTCCAAAACCAACAACAAGGTGAAGCTGGTTCTGATGGTCCAACTGGGGAAGGTGGGTGGTTCTACTGGTTCTGATGGTCCCACTGGGGAAGGTGGGTGGTTCTACTGGTTCTGATGGTCCCACTGGGGAAGGCGGGTGGTTCTACTGGTTCTGATGGTCCTACAGAAACTCGAGGAGGTGTAATCAAACCCAATAGGAGCTGGACTGTTGGCTCTGTGGACTCTAGAGGACACCATCAGCCCTACAGCAGGTAGATAAAGACTCACATACCAACCGTTACCTGTATGATGACATCATCAGCTGGCAGATGAAATTTATGTAACAAAAAACATCTGATTTTCCAGAACACCTGTTCAGTTCAATGTCCTGTGATCTGTTTAGGTTCTGGATGATGTTTCTACTGGCAAGAGGGGGCGGGGCTACATCACTGGGCCCGTCAAGCCTCCATCAACGCTAATGGAGATGCAACGTTCACTAAGGTCTGCTGATCGTCTTCTACTCAAAGTCCCGACGATGAAGTATAAAGCTGGTGGGGAGCGTGCGTTCGACTTTGCTGCTCCCAGACTCTGGAACGTGCTCCCTCTGGTGGAACGCCAGGCTTCCTCACTGGCACAGTTGAAATCCAGCCTGAAGACACATTTTTTAATTTAGCTTTTGGTCAATGATCGGTCTTATATGCTGTAACTCTCTTCTGTTTTTACTGACTTCTGTTTTTACTGACTTCTGTTTTTAGTGACTTCTCTTTTTAAACTTTTGTTTTAATTTTAGGTGTTTCTATTTTTTGACAGTTTTAATCTGTGTTTAATCTGTATGTATGTGAATTTGAATGGCTTTTTAGGTTTGACTCTGCAGTGCTTTGGTCAGCTGACATGCTGTTTTTAAATGCACTATAGAAATAAAATTGGATACGATTGGAGATGTTAGTCTTTGCTGTTTTTATTGAGTTAATGAAACAAACCTAAACATTATTTCTTCTTCTCTTCCTCCTCCCAGATGACTTCCTTCATCCCACAGATTGATTGTTTAAAACACACTTTTCTAAAATCTAATGTCGGAATAATTTCATCCATCAACTCGGGAACTGGCACACTTTCCTGCAGCCGGGATTTACTCCACCCTCATCATGGCCCATTTCCTCCCATCTCCCAGAAAGCTCCGAGCGTTGCTCCTGTTCCCAGATCTGGTTGTCGGTACAACGCTGAAAACAACCCAGAGACCACTTCACTGGCCTGATGATAGAAAAGTGATGCTGCTCCATCAGTCAGAACACCGTCAGCATTCCTCTCTGCTCCGGGAGGGACAGCTGGATGCTACAGACTCGAGTTATTTGTTTCTCACTTGACTGAAGAACGGTGACGCAAACACAGCTACCGCTGTAAAGGTCGGACCTGGAGAAAAACTTCACAGCATTCCTGATTTACTGTGGATTAAACTTCATGTAGAGAAAAACTCTCTTCATGTTTGACTTTATTATTTATTTAGCTAAACCTATGTTTAATCCATATTTCACTTCTCAGCTGTTTTCTAATTATTATTTAAACACTCAGATAAACAAACACAGCAGAGTATTATGGAAAACTATTTTGGGTTTTATGCTCAAAATTGAACACAAATGAAAATGTCTGTATGACTCCTGTGGCTCTTAAGCTCTCATGTAGGTTTTTTTTTTATCTTGCCTTAGAAATTTTAAGCTTGAAGTACTAAATAAATAAATAAATAAATAAATAAAACTGAAAGTTAATTGAAATTGTTTTATTTGTGTTACTGGGAATGGAAAATGGTCAAACAGTATATCATCATTATCAGTTACAATAGAAAATTATGATACAAAATTATGAAAATTCGTAAAGATGAGATGACTTTAAAAAGTAAAAACAATAAACTTTATAATGATGGGATAAAAGGACAAAATGAAGTTCTAACAGTGGTGATTATTATTATTATTATTATTTTTATTATTATTATTATTATTATTATTATTATTATTATTATTATTATTATTATTATTATTATTATTATTATTATTATATACATATAAGTTAGTAATATTGTTTTTGTCGTCATCACCACTTTAGTCAGAACCTTTTTTCTACAGCCAGGTCAGAAACAGATATATAGAGACACACACACACACACACACACACACACACACACACACACACACACATACACACACACACACACATATATATATATATATATATATATATATATATATATATATATGTGTGTGTGTGTGTGTGTGTGTGTGTGTGTATGTATATATATATATATATATGTGGTCAGAACTGACGCTTTTGTAACAGGATGTGAAGGAATTCCGGTTCCGTCCTAGCTGTTTAAATTCATTGCTGAACTTTTGTCTCCCTCTGGTGGTCACTTGGAGGATATACTCTGCGCCCGTTCAGACGTGTTTACTAAACTTATCTTGATTAAAATGCGGTGCAGCAGCTCTCTGCCGCTGTTATCTCCCAAACCCTCTTAGGTTCATCACGTGCAGGTATGGTATTTACTGTATAATTACCTATAGTTATTATACATCTACTAAACGCCTTAATTGTATTTACTAATCCTGTATTTCGCCTCTTCTTGATAAGATGGTAGATTCAACACGTGATTTTTAAAAAGAGGTGACCGCTGGTTGGTTATTAGCAAGAATTTAACGTTATGAAGCAGCTAGACAGCTGAACGCCCCTTTAACTGTTTACAACGACACCTTCAACGCCTTTTTCATAGTAGAAATGTAGAGGAAACTGTTTGATGAGCGGCGTCTCTTACAGCCTATAGCTGCAAAGAATTTGCTCTTTAAACCCGCCTTTGCTGTAAACTGGCCAATCAGCGGCCGAGATTTGAACTTCCGCTACACCGACGGAGCATGTTCCAGTGTTGGAGCATTTCTGAAAGAGTGCCGCGTTTATGTCCGTGCAAACGGTAACATTTTATCCGGAGGTGGTCCGAATGAAGCGTCCGACCGCTGCTTTTTACCGCTGAATCAGAACAAGCTGGCGTCGTTGACGCTAAAGTAGCGGGTGGTTGCTGAGACAAAGTGCGGAGGTTTCACCGAAGGAATCCAGCCTTCAGCGGCCGCTCGGCAGCCTTCTGTCCGGCTAACGCTGCTGCTAACCCGCTTAGTGCTGCGGCTCTGGCGGCAGGAATGATTTTAACCCGCAGGCGTTTCGGTTCCAGTTAGCCAGGAACCGACAACACGGGCTGTTAGCTCCGGAACGAAGCTCGTAGCCGAGTTAGCCGTCCGGCTGCTAACGTCGCCGGGTCGAAGAAAGGGCAGCGTGCGAACAGCAGACCCGACTCTTTTTTTTATTATATTTTATTACTTTAAGGACCAGTTTGGGTTCGGAGACCAGCTCTTGTTTGGACCCAGGGACCGCCTCGGTCGTGCAGGATGAACGGCTTCAGCACCGAGGAGGATAGCCACGACGGGCCGCCGGCTCCTCCGTTTTACGGGCAGAGCTGCTGTTTGATCGAGGACGGAGAGCGCTGCGGACGGCCGGCTGGAAACGCCTCCTTCAGCAAGAGGATCCAGAAGAGCATTTCCCAGAAGAAACTCAAGCTGGACATCAACAAGAGCGTAAGACCTGCTCATCCTTTTGGCTTCACAACACCGGGTTAGCCCCTCGGAGACAGATCCGGTCCGGAACCGGCGGTTCCAACTGGCAAGAGACCGGTTAGCTAGCATTTAGCTTCACACTGAAAACACACACGGTGTGTAAGCTAGCCGCTGTCGTTACACACCCTCACCCCGCTGCCATCCAGGTGTTCTGCAGAAACCTGTCACGCGCAGGTTCTGGGACCAGACAGTTATAACCTGCTTTATAAGGTTGTATTAGAGTTCTGGTTTAATCGGTTTTGATTTTACAGCTAGTTAATTCAACTCAACTAAAGTGTGTTCTTAAACCTGGCTCTAAACTAAATCATTGGTTTCGTCCCAGAGGAACTGCACGTCTTTGGTTTACACCAGTGGGTCTCAGCCCTTTTGCATGAGGACCCCCTTGCCAGTGCCTCTAGGGCCAGGGTCCCCCAGACCCCAACTCCTACGACATGCACACTTAAAAGTGAATAGTTACACACTTTATGCAGCATACGGAGTTGTGGCTCCTACTGAGTTTTGATGTTACTATCGGGTGTGTCATTGGGAGTTTATAACTTCACATCAGCACAGACAAAACTATGGGGACACCCACCTCATTTATATTTATTTAACCTTTACTCCCAAACCCAGAGGAATCCAGACTGTCTACGTGGAGAGGGTCACTCTATACCCGTAGTCCCACAGATCTGGACCTATCTGTCTATGTCTGTACAGGTGAGACATCTCTACATCTGCGACTTCCACAAGAACTTCATCCAGAGTGTTCGCAACAAGAGGAAGAGGAAGACCAGTGATGATGGAGGGGAATCTCCAGATCATGATGTGGAAGTCCCCGAGGTAAGACCTGGATTGGCGCCAGCATGTGGACCTGGGGTTGCTGGTTTAGACTAGTTATCTTGACCTGTTACTGTTTCCAGGTGGATCTGTTCCAGCTGCAGGTGAACACACTCAGACGCTACAAGAGACACTACAAGCTGCAGACCAGACCTGGACTCAACAAGGCCCAGCTGGCAGAGGTAGCCACATAAACACACTCGTATATCACACGCATAACACACACACACACACTCGTATAACACACACACTCTCATATAACACACACACTCATATAACACACACACACATATAACACACACACACATATAACACACACTCGTATAACACACACATAACACACATATAACACACACACGCATATGAACACACACAAGCACACGCATATAACACACACACACAAGCACACACATATGAACACACACGTGCATATAACACACTCACATATGAACACACACATGCATATAACACACACACTCACACATATATAACACACACACTCACACACATATAACACACACACACACACATATGAACACACACACATGCATATGAACACACACACATAACACACACACACATATGAACACACACACGCATATGAACACACACATATAACACACACACACACACACACATATGAACACACACATATAACACACACACATAACACATATAACACACACACACACACACACACATATAACACACACATATAACACACACATACACACACATATAACACACACACACACACATATAACACACACATACACACACATATAACACACACACACACATATAACACACACATACACACACATATAACACACACACACACACATATAACACACACACACACATATAACACACACAAGCACACACATATGAACACACATACAGACATATAACACACACACACATATATAACACACACACACATATAACACACATGAGCGCTTCAGGTTCTCGTCTCCATGTGAACGGAGAGTCGGTCAGCTGATTGAGGTGTTTAGGACCAATCCCGCCTCCAGGAAAACCAGGAACTTCCTGTAGTTACTCACGTTAGCTGTGGTTCACCCAACCGTCCAGCAGGGGGAGCTCTGGACTCTGGTTTTGGTTCTGGAGTCAGACCTAGAACAGAACATCTTTCCTGAGAGGTTATAAGGTGCTGGTTCTGTTCTGACCCACTCTTGTCTTCCAGACGGTGAGCCGCCACTTCCGGAACATCCCGGTGAACGAGAAGGAGACACTGACCTACTTCATCTACATGGTGAAGTCCAGCAAGAGCCGCCTGGACCAGAAAGGAGACGCAGGAAAACCTCTGGACTAAAGCTGCCCGACCGGGACCGCTTCATTTACCTGAAACACAGCTCTGTCCCGAACGACCCATCCGTTGGACCAGAACCTTCTGTCCTCTTCCTACCCGCCGGACCGAAACGTTAACGGTGGGACGACTTCAGTTCAGCCCGTCCATCCAGTCGACCTCCCAGAGGCAGTTCCTCAACACAGAACCAGAACTTCCAGAACCCACCGCAGAGTTCTGTTGGACCAGTCCAAATGTACTAAACCCCATCAGAACCTGATCAGAATCCGTTGGTTGGACTGCTGCCTTAATCATCACAACCAACTCGTTTTAACCCGACTGTTACCAGAACCAGAACCGGTCCGTGCCAAATGAGCGTGAGTACCAGATGCTGAACTGGACTCAATATTTTGTAAATAAACATCCCGTTCCGTCTGAGACCCGGTTCTGTTCCAGCTTCAATCATAAATAATGTTTAAATGAAACACAAACCCGGTCTGGTTCTGGCGCTGAAGCTCTTTGGTTCTGACCCGCTCCTTTCCGTTGGTCAGTTTTCCTTTCATGGTTTTCTTCTTTAGTTCGACTGTAAGTTGTATTAAACTCTCCGCCTGGATGCTTTTGTTTCTGGGTCGGGTCGGGTCGGGTCTGGAGCTCGACGCCGCAGCAGAAACACGAACTGGATCCATCCTCCAGCAGCTGTTTCACGTCTCTTATTATAAATAAGATTAAACGGAGATTGGATCAGAACCGGATCCTCCGACGCCGACCTTTGACCCCTGCTGCATTTATTCTGATTTTGTTTTTTAGGCTTTTCATGTAGAAAAACTTAACATTTTGTTGTTATTCTAGAAAATAAACCTATTTAATACGGCTGCTTTCTGCTCTAATAATAGTAATAAATGTTATTGTAGCGACAAGAGGACTCGTCTTTATTCCCTTGTTCTGGTTCTGATTGGCCCGCTTTAACCCGAGACTCCACCGATTTAGAAACAAACGCCAATAAAAATGGTTTCACTAAAATAAACATCAGAAAAAAGCTCGAACACAAGAAACGCAAAGTTCTTCCAGGTCCGTTTTTATTCTCTTGATTCATCATCAGATGATCTAAATATGTGAAACATTTTTTTTGTTTGTTTTTGTTTATCAATAGGGAAAAAAAGCATTTCTAAACATTAAACTTTGTATTTCAATAATGGGAGGCCGCCACTAGGTGGTGCTGTTTCTCCATGCAGGAAGGTTTGCTTTGCAGCATTTTTCTGTTTTATTGTAATTCAGCAATATTTTATTTTTGAGTTCATTCTAATTTGAGCACTGAGAATATTTAAAAAATGTTTATATTTAAAAATTTTCATTTGACAAATCACTACTTAAATTTTTTTTCTAATTAAAGGTGCAGTATGTGAGAATTTTACAGAGAAAATGCCAAAAGAGTCAAAAGTTTCATTTTGGAAGGAGGGTTCTACTGAAGCATGTTTCGTATTCAGCTGCTGGATTGTCAGTTTTTCTCCTTTCAAAACAAAGGAAGGAGGGACATAACGACTGTTTACCATCATTGATTGGGGGGGGGGGGGGGTCTCCTGCGAGCTAATGCTGCAGTGCTCGTAACTGTAATTTGACGACAGCCGGCAAATGCTCCAAAGTTGTTTAAAGTGGTTGCAGTAACCACTTTTTACCACATGATGTCATTTTTACCTCATTTCTACATAGTGCACCTTTAAAACAACAGAATGAGTCTAACCTGAATGTTGTAAACGTGTAAAACATTTTATGGATTAAACTCACCAAAAATAAATCTCTGCGTTACAAATATGAAACATGGAATTTAAAATGGTGTTTTGTGTTTTTATTCGGGTTTCCGAATCGGATCAGATCCGTATGGAGACCCTCAGCTCCTGATCTGGTTTTACGTCAGCTGAGCGACTCCGCTGGGCCGGGATAATTACCGCCTCCATCAGAAGGTGGGATCAAAGGGAACAGCCAATGAAAATGTGAACGAATGTTTCAAATAATTTTTCACTTGAACAAAAAGTCAAGAACATGACAATCTGATTGGCTCTCGTCCTGCTGTAGTTAAAGTGGGTCAGAACCGCCTCCAGTGTCTGCTGAGTTTATAAACCCTGTTTAGTGATGTTTAACAAACACGGACTGGAGCTGAATAAAGAGTTCCCAAACAACAACTATTAACAGGGTTCATAAACAAGGATGCTGACTGTCTCCCTACTCTGTGATCGTTGTTCTGATGGTGCTGTCAGAAAATCCCAGACAGACGGGATCCTGCAGGTTATTAGAAATTCATTTCTACTGTTTCTTCACAGAATTAATAAAGTTTTAATAAATCAATTAAAAGATCAAATAAAAATGACACTGAACTCATTTTCGTAAATACAATCAAATTAAATTAGCTGAAAACAAAACAAGAAATCTTAAAAGTGTCTTAAAATAATCTATTTATTTCTGGAACCATAGAACCACATCTAACACAAGAAGACTTGTCACAATAATAAACATCTCCTCCTCCGCGGCGCGGACATCAGTGACTCTGAGGGTTTGAGGTAGATTCATGAAACTCTTTCATGCTGGAGCAGAAACAAAAGTTCTGATGATTCTGGTCCGAAGTTCCGAACAGAAAATAAACAAAAACGGGGTTTCCCCCTGCGTTTTGCCTCAAAGTGACTAAAGAATAAAAAGCTGCGGGTCAGACGTGATCCGCCAGATGCTGTTGTGTTCACGTGTTAAATAAAGTTGGGAATAAAGGTTAAACTTGCTGTTTGGTTTCTGCATAAGAATCAAATTAAACTGCGAACAAAAATAGGGTTTTCCTTTAGTTTCTAATAAAAACACCAATAATAATATTTCTTCTGTTCAGGAAAAGTTTTTTAATCAGGCTGATTAGGAACACCCAAATGATCCGTTCTTCTTTAAAGTTTTACAACAGCAACATCTGCGTGGTTTTATTTCAGGGGTTTTGGTTCCTTCGGGTTCATTCTGGAAACTAAAACGAGGTCTTGTTTTGGGGGCCGACAGATGTTGTGACCTGTTCCACATCTGGCCCACAGGCCCGGATGGAAACATGAAGAAGAAGCAGAAATACCACAAATATCAGGCAGTTCGGGTCCGGTTCCGTCCCGGTGTGTCCCGTCCGAGTTCTCCTTAGTTTTTAGGTCTTTAGCGCGTGAACGCGTGATTTAGGTCAGATTTTAATCCAGTCTTTGAGCGTGGTGGTGGTGGGGTGTGTGTGTGTGTGAGGGGTGGGAGGGGGTCACTGGTTCAGCTCCAGAGCCCAGACCTGCTGCGGCCACCCGGTCCGGCCCTTCACCTTCTTCTCCCCGCCTAAAGAGTCCTGCAGGCCGTCGGTCTGTGGAGGGGGGCGGGGCACAACAACATCACATCATTATGACCAGGAGGACTTCTGACACACCTTTAAAAAATAATTGCACCACTTCCTGTTGTTATAATAATAATAATTATTATTATTATCATTACTATTATTATTACTATCATTATTATTATACCTATAATAATAATAGAAATAATAATAATAATTGTTATTATTACTATTATACCTATAATAATAATAGTAATAATAATAATTATTATTATAACTATAATAATAATAGCAATAATAATAATAATTATTATTATTATAACTATAATAATAATAATAGTAATGGTAATAACTCAAAACAAACATTTTTGAATAGATTCTTCTGTAGCTCAGTGGCTCTAGATCTATTATTACTCATTTTTACTCATAATTACCAATAATGTTCATTAATGCACACACACTCTATCTTTTCATCTATTTGTTTGGTTAAGATGGACTGTGTGTGTGTGTGTGTGTGTGTGTGTGTGTGTGTGTGTGTGTGTGTGTGTGTGTGTTTAAATCAGCGCCTGTTTGATAAAATCTCATTATTTCATTTCCTTATTTTTGAGGATTTTTTTCTCCATAAAAGCTACATTAATTTTTACATAAAATAAAACAAACACATCCTGGATGATGTGTTTGTTTGTTTGTGTTTTATTCTGTTAAATTATTTCTGGGAAAAACTAAAACTAATAAATGATGTGCAGCTGCGTACAATCTCCAAAAAGTGCCGCTAAAATGCGCCAAAATGAACAAAATATTTCAGATTAAAACAGGATTCCGTTGACTTTTTTAGGATTACTGATCTGATCAAATCTGGATCTAAAATTTAACCTGAGTATTTCTTCTCTCTTGTTTCGGCTCGGAACCAGAACCAGAACTCACCAGCTCCCGCTTCCTTTTCAAGTCCCGCGTTTCGAACTTCTTGATCTCGGCCTTGAAGCCTTCCGTCTCCCCGGAGTCTTTGGCCAGGACGTCCATCAGGTAGGCGATGTAACTGGTCGCGAGACGCAACGTTTTGATCTTGGACAGCTTGGTGTCCGCGGGAACGTTCGGGATGCACTCCCGCAGTTCGGCGAACGCGGTGTTGATGCTCTCCGTCCTCCGCCGCTCCTTCTTGGGCCCCGACGCTCTCCTCTTGCCCATCCCGGTCGGAAGCCCCTCCAGCCGGCTGTCATGCGCTGTACCGGCCGCCCCCAGCCCCGCAGCAGGATACGGAGCCTGGATCTGGAAGTCCGGCGGGACCTCGCCGTGGTTCACCACCCAGCTCTGGAAGTATGGCGCGTCCTGGTGGCACCGCTGTACAAACGGGAAGGGTTCGTGCATCAGGTGGTGGTGGTGCTGGTAGCTCCCGATCAGGTTCATTCTGAACCGGGAGGGAAAACTGGAGCTCAGTGGGTTTTCCGTCTCTGCTGCCCCGGCTCCCAAACAGCCTCACGTCCGGTTCAGCGGCCAGCTGGACTCATTCAGCACCGGGACGGGTCAGAAAAACCAAACTTCGAAGGCTTACATGGTTCTTGTACTGAAAACGACCAGAGAGGAATAAATCCAGGATCCAGGAATCCGGAATCAGATCCCGACTGGAATTCCGTTTGTGTTTTTGGAAGCTGGGATATTTTCCCGAACAGGCCACGCTGATGTGCAGAAGAAATTTGACCCTGATGAAGGTGCGAAGCTCCAGGTTTATATGAGCGGGACGTGCGCGTGCAGGGAGGCAACCAATGGAGGAGAGCGCGCTGGATGGGAGGAGAGGAGGGACATGCGCAATTGTGCCAGAACATCCAGAAGCTCCAGAAACAATCCAGACCGGGGAAGATCTGCACCGCAAAGCAGAGACTCTGAATGTTTTTGTTTATCAGACAGCCAGGAACTTTTGCTCTTTTGCGGAAGACTTTTACGCACGAGTTTTACGCACCGGAGAGGTCAGCTTCAAAAGCGGCTGAATGCAAACCAACGTGTTTTTATTCTGAGTCCCTGCTAAACTCACGCGGATGAACCCGTTATTCGTATAAAATCTCAGGATTTTAATTTTATTCTTAAACCCAGAAAAAAGATCTGAGATTTTTCTGTTTTCTTTCTTTATTTTATTTTTCTGATGGAAGTTTTAATTTGACGTCTGGACGTAAATACATTTGTTTATTGACACATTTTTTTCTCTTTTTTTTTGAATCTGTAAATGTTGTTTAGGAAAATAAAAAAGTGCTGATATGATTCTCAACTCAGGTCAACTTTAATTTTTTTGTGTTTTTATTTATGAAACTAAAGCAGCTTCCGCTCGTCTCACTTTATTACATTTATAAATTATACGTTTAAGCTGTTTTAGGCACTCATTTATTTTATTTATTATTATATTTAAATTTTTAAAATGGTATTTTTTCACTTTTTACAAAATGATCAGTGTTTTATTTTATATGACATCATTTTATAATGTTTTTTTTTTGGGTTACTGTTTAAAAAGGCCTGGTGACGTCACCGTTTCTCTGCTCATCTGCAGTAATAATCCCGTTACTTTCTCCACTGATCTGAGATTTTAATCTGAACTCAGCGGTTCGGCGGTTCTGTCAGCAGGACCGGTCCAGTTCTGCAGCAGCAGTTTAAATCCGCACACGAGCGACTTTGACGCTGTTTTGTCTAAAAGTCGCAATAAATCAGATGCGGACTTTTCCATGAAAGTTGTTTAGAGATTTCAAATTCTCACAACAGAATAAATATTCACCCGCCGTGGTTCCGACCCAGCTTTAAGACGACACTGATCCGGATCCTCTCAGAGTCCCCCAAACACCCGGATGCACCCAGATTTACGGGACTATAAGGGTTCTGGTTCTGGTTCCAGCAGACCCGTTTTCATCTCCAGATGCTCTACGCTGGCTTTTATTTGTTTATTTGTTTGTTTGTTTATTGCATCTTCCTGTTGCATGATCTCTCTCATAACCCAAGTGATTTATTCCCGTTTTTATTCTAATAATCTGAGTTTATTTGTTTAAAACTCGGTCCAGCTGTAGTTCTGGTTCGTATGATGGATCGGGTCCAGGTCCGGACGAGAACAGAGACGTTTTTATTCATCTGCAGAATCTGTAGAGAAACGTTTTATTTTCAACTTTTAAAGGAGGAGCAGTCACCGTGGCTCCATCCGAGGGTCAGCAGAATCAGGGGAGTTTGCATCAAGCTTTACAGAACCTCTCTGGTCCTGGCTCTAGTTCTGGACCGTGACACACGTTTGGACCAGGATGGAGCCTCTTCCTCCTGTCCTGATGCTCGATCCCGCTGCTGTCGGAGTGAAGATCTCCATTCCTGCTCCAGAAAGAAAACCTGACAGTGTTGATTAAGACGTCCACTACACAGAGATGAAATACGACCCCCTCCCCATCATCATCATCATCATCATCATCATCATCATAATCATCATCATCATCATCATCATCATCACTTTCTCCTCTCCATCCTGGCTCTGATCTTTGTCCCTCTGGAGATGTTAGTTCTGACTCCATCCTCCGGCTTCTCCGACCATCTCAGACGGCTCGCTGGAGCCATCTTGACCCGGTTCTGAAGCCTCCTCAGAATTGTTTGTGTCATCATGTGCGTTTTTCAACAGACAGCCTCTTCAGAGTGCTTACCCTCAGCTCCAACTCCAAACAAATATTCCCGTCCCGTTCCGAGCAGCTGGCCCGTTGGTCAGGCTGAGGGCGCCCTGCAGCTGGACCTCGTTCTGGGATGTGAGAGTGAACTGGGTGATGGAGCAGAACCAGGTCCAGATCCAATGATGATGAGTGGTTCTGATGATCCAGGAACATTTCATATGATTTATGACTAAAACTAAATCATGAAAATTTATGTTTTGAAAGTTAATAATAAAGCTAAATAAATTCATTTTACTTTATTGATTCTCACTGAGACTATTTTTTTATTAAAAAAAAGATACTTAAAAAACTTAATAAGAGACTCTGTACTAAAATATTTCTAGGCAGGATCTCAAATCAGCGGGTCGTGGGCCAGAACACAAATCTTCTGGGTCAGGAGAAGAAAAAGTTCTATTAAATCATAAATATTTATATTAAAATTTACTGTAATTATTTACTGTTATGAGATTTTTAAAGTGATTATATTTCTGTAAACAATTTTATTCACTTTTAATTAAAACTGGTTTTAAATATAATAAAACATTTAAAGTCATAAACATGAAATTTAAAACATAAAACTGTTGAATTTGTTTTCTTTAAAATGTTCTTTTTCCCTAAAACCTTCAAAATAAAAGTCCTACAATTTGTTTCTACGAGATAAAAAAAAGTGTTTAGAGCTGTTGCCTTGCAGCACGAAGGTCCTGGGTTCACTTCCCGGCCTGGGGTCTTTCTGCATGGAGTTAGCATGTTCTCTCTGTGCATGCGTGGGTTCTCTCCGGGTACTCCGGCTTCCTCCCACAGTCCAAAAACATGACTGTTAGGTTAATGGCCTGTCTAAATTGTCCTTAGGTGTGTGTTCGCGCGCGCGCGCGCGCGCGCGCGCGCGCGCGTGTGTGTGTGCGTGTGTGTGTGCGTGTGTGTGTGTGTGTGTGTGTGTGTGTGTGTGTGTGTGCGTGTGTGTGTGTGCGTGTGTGTGTGTGTGTGTGTGTGTGTGTGTGTGTGTGTGTGTGTGTGCATGATTGTTTGTCCTGTGTGTCTCTGTGTTGCCCTGCGATGGATTGGCTCTCTGTCCAGGGTGTACCCCACCTGATTGCCCATTGACCACTGGAGATAGGCACTAGACCCCCCACCCCCACCCCGACCCCACGTGGACAAGCAGATTATTATTATTATTATTATTATTATTATTATTATTATTATTATTATTATTATTATTATTATTATTATCACAATGGTTTACTGTAAGAAAAATACTTTTTTAAAGTAATGGAACAAAAATTTGACTGGCCTGAAATTCTATCATTTTTTGTATTTCAGAATAAAACTTGATTTTTTTTTTAAATTTATTTATTTTTATTCCTTCTAAAAATCAGTCACTTTCTGGATGAAACTTTAATTTTCAGCCCCCTTTCTAACTAAAAACACAAGCTGAAACTTTCAGCTTTAATTGTAAAATGTTGGTTTCTATTCCTAAAACATGTCATTATTACCAAAACCAGCTGCTTCAGAATCACATCTGAAACCAGGTGTTTTATAAGCTCTTTGCTGAAGTTTGCTGTTTTTTATTAGAGTTTTTAGGTAATTTTGGGGAAGTCTGCATAGAAAATCATTAAAAGTTTAACTTTTTGTTTGATTTTGTTAATAATTTCGTTTTTTGATGAAACATTTCCTGTGAGTTTTTCATCAAACAGGACGAGTGACGTTTAAACCGTCGTCCCACCTGCCAGTGAGATCCCTCTCACTCCTTATGAATGAATGAATCCTTACTTCCTGCTCACTTCTGACAGCATCAGCTCTTGTCTGCCTGGTCGTTTTATTGGATCCGAGCCAGATGAGTGGGTTTTACTCCCCTGGAACCTGTTTCACACGACAGAGGAAATGCTCAGCATTTCTGCTCTGATCTGCAGGATTTGATCCTCGGTGGGACGATCCATGACGCTCGTCTCCAAACACGTCTGTTCCTCTGCTCGTTTGGTCTCAGAGATCCAGAAAGTCCTCTAACTGCAGCAATCCTGCCGTCCTCAGCCAATAAAGATAAGAGGCTGGAATGTGTGTGTGTGTGTGTGTGTGTGTGTGTGTGTGTGTGTGTGTGTGTGTGTGTGTGTGTGTGTAAAACATCTTGATGAAATCTTAAAGAGGAAAAACGTGAATTTAAAATCTGAACCAAGTTAAATGAACAAAGTTTTCTTCTGCTGAAATCAGATTTTTAACATTAGATTATCGATAATAGATGAAAACGAGGCTGATGGCAAATATTTAATGATGTTATTTTCATATATGATGAGTTTCGGGACCGATTTGCACTTTTTAAATGGTTTTTGATGTAAACAGGCTGGGCTGGTGTCCCAGCTGCAGGACCGAGGGGACTGGACTCTGAATCCAGAGATGAGACGATAACGTGGGTCGAGTGCAGGTTAACCTGTTAATTCTGCTTCTAACAAATGGGAAGAAACCTAAATGTTTGATGTTGCCAGAAACTTTTATTTAAGGCTTAAAGAACCAACAGAAGAATCTCTGACTTACTCAAATACTCAATTAAAGTAAAAACAAAATAAAGATGGTTTGTGGATTTAAAGTTAAACGTCTCATCAAAATATCAAGATTCTGTCAGGAAATAGAAAAACAAATCATGTTTGTTTCTTCAAAAATATCAGATCTGATTGAAGTCAAAGTAGAAAATCTGTCCAGCTTTTTGCAGTAAAATAATTTTATTTAATGGCTTTTTAATCGATTTTGTTTTGTTGGGATACATTTTGCGTTTAAACGTCCTGCCAGCGTCTGATTTTTGTGCTACACTGTAAGAAATACCAGGACCTTTTTGTTTAGTTTACCAACATTTATGTTACTGAAAAAAAAAACAACAACAATTTCAATAAAAGAAAAACTAGAAACGATGTACATGTTTCACAGAAAATCCCTTCCTACGCCATCGAAGCATATTCTTACTGATCTTTTCTCCTGGTGTGCATGAATCATGTGGAACACTGTAAGAAAAACATAATTAACAACAAGATTAATGTCCCAGAAGATAATCACGGGGAATTTTATCCCTCGGGTTCATGGA